ATGTGACTCATGTTGTCTGTTGAAGAATGTTCATGGGTTGATTGGGTTATTTTACTGCTTTAGAATAAGCTTTTTGCTAAAACTTTCAGTTCATTAGTGCTTTAGAATTAGGGGACCTAAATATCTGAGTTAGTGTTTTAGGGCTAGTGGAACTAATATTTAGATTAGTGCTACCCACCACTGTATGTTTACATGGACATAAGTAATTGCAATAAATGGCCAGTCTGAACACATAAACGCCCCAGTTGGAATATTTGGATTGATTCAGTTTGAATGAATTTGTAATTTGAATAAGAGGGGTGGTTTATGCCGATTGATAATCTGAACGGTGTGCATGTACGCACTTATTCTCATCAGGTTCTTGTGATTGTAGAAAACTGACCTGACTGCATGTGCGCCCTATGTCAGCCTGACGTACTGTATTTCCACCTGGCCAGATGCTGATATGTCAGGGAAGCAAAATTTGTTGGTTAGCGACGCAACATTTTTATTAGAAAGTTTGTTTGTTCATCACAGAAATAGAATTTCATCTGTGGTTTAAGGGGAAAGTTTAAAACTCTGAGCATGTCTGTACTTCCATTCTGATTGAATGAATTAATTATGTACCCAAATAAACGATACATTCGTGTTACTTAATCTGAATACTTTTCAATCTGATCAAAGAATTGTGTGCATGTAAACATAGCTTATGTTGATAAAATGTAATAAAACTTAGGTAAGTTTAGAATGATTAAACACACACGAATTAGCACATTTTGTATTTTCATAATAAAGTGTATAACATTATTTTATATTTAATTATCATATGTTTTTTTTTTCATTATCAGATCAGCTCAAGAACCATTTTGAAAACAAAAAAAAAAAGAAATGTAATCAGATGACATCACTGCTGCGTACCTCATACAGGTCTATCATGATGTTGTCTTCTGGGCCTCCACTGCTCACAACATCCTCCAGCATCAGTGTGAAGAACAGCCCTCTGTGCTCTGACATGTACAGGTTGTATGAATCGTTCTGATGCCAGTCCTGAATCGCTGCCACCACCTGGTTATCATCGGTGCTGATTATTTGCAAGTCCTGGATACAAAAACAAAAAACAAAACCATGAGGGAAATCTCCCATTTGGAATAAAACATGCTTAATGATTACAGCACACACTAAAAACTACTGGGTTTAGAAACAACCCAGTTTGCACCCCAACACTGGGTCTGATTTGGATTGAGCCTACCCTGGGTGGTTTTATCTAAACAGGGTTAGGGTATCAGTTTGAAGCATACTGGGTTAAAGTCTTGTTCTGATTTGCTGGGTGGAAAATCTGAGAAACATTAATGGCTAGCACTAAAYACTATTAGCACCCAAGAACCCAAACTTCCTGTCTACTGTATACTGAAGTTATTAATAAATCAAAACAGGTTAAATATCTTCTTTAAAGTTGTTTTTATCTCATCTTTACTTATTAAATTCTAAAGCAGAGGTTCAGTCAGGTTTAATTTGATCAACTTTTGGTTTAAAATGGCCGAMTGTGAAGGATGACACGACACGTTATGTCTGACCTAACTCAATCAAACATTTAGACCCAACAAACTAATTCATCTTATGACCTAACAACTACAGCAAAGTTAAATAACCCATCAGTTTTTTATTGTGTATGAATTTGCATTAGTTTCAAAAAGCAGCCTTTTTTTTCCTTCTTGGCATCGCTCAGTAAGACTCCTCAGCAATTTGATCTCGAGCTGAATAAAAATGAATATGAGCTCCATTTAATTTTACTGAATTTTTCGTCTAAAGCGAAACACAGTAGGCGATACTTGTCCTTCACAAGGAGATTTCCACCATATCCCTGGATGGATGGATAGACACTTAGACAGATTTATTGAAACAAAACCGAGGGCATTAATGCTCTCCTGTTGTCATGGCAGTGACTTTCAAAACACTAACCCCTCCATGCCTGTGATGAATTGAAATACATGCGGTTTGGTGAAAAGAACATCCCTTTCTGCAACCAACTTCATATGCAACTTGAAAGTCTACTTTTGTTGTTAAAGAGGAAAGAAAAATGGAAAGTCTGCATGAGCCCTCAATAAATGTCTGCAATCAGTTTTCATCAGGCTACTGTTGTGAAGAACACTGTTTGAAAATGTGTAAACACACCTAAAATTATCAGAAAATTAACATTTAATTAGATAAAATTGTGCCAAGTTATCTTACCTTAGGAACTGTGTATTTGGGAAGTTTCATTGGGTAGAAAGCATTTCTTTTATAAGACACGTAATGAACAGTCTGSCCACCTATTGACACCTTCAAGAAAAACAACAGAGAAAAAGCGCAATTTCGGTAAAGTTAATAAACATTTAGATACACTGATTGCTAGTAGCTTGTGTTAAATAATTCGAACTCCCATAAAAACCTGGAGTTTGTCTCTCATTWAGATGCTGTGAATTGTGGTGCGGTGTAGTCGTAGTCATAAAAAAGCAGAGGCTTTATTTTCATCCCTTTCTTCCCCAGCATAATGGCCCCTTTTAGTTAATGAAAAGCATGACTRTACATTAAGCTGCGGCTGAATGCACTGACTTTACAACTTTTAATCGTCTTTTAATGAAGCCAGACCTTGCAATAAAAACCCACCTGGATGAAAACGTATTCATCCTGTACCACAAGGGAATTGGGGATTATAAATCCAGGGAAAGGCTTGCCCTTGTTTCCGTCAGAGCAGTTCAGAAGTTTGCAAGTTATGTACTGTGACCCTGTGGGTAAGGAAGAAATTAGAGCTGAAAAATACAGCAAAGACAGAAACAGGCAATCCTCTGTAGTCTACAATCAAGATTTTTTAAACTGATTATGGTCAAATTAAGACATCTGAGACCAGTCTTGATTTTCACTAACAGATAAAGTAGAAGGAAGCATCCTATTGTGTTAGCATCAACCAAATGAAACCGTCTCCCCGAGGATGAAACATTAACATGTCCTTCTGAAATCTTGGCCAAGAAAGGAGGCAAGTCGCCTCACAAAATTTAACTAACCTAATCACATCAAGAGTCTTCAAATAGCCAATTCAAGGGAGGGGGTTGGGGAATAAAAAAAGACACTAAGTTCAAAATCAAATTTAATTTCAGTGATTAAGGTGAACATTTATTTAATGTGAAACCTCACRGTGTTGTTACTCACTTTTCTCCGAAAAGCTGATTTCCAGATGAATCATGCCCTGCTCCTTGTCCAAACCCAGTCTTGACCTGAAACATTGAGCAGACTTTAAACATTTACATAAATATGTATGTGCGTTTATGTGCATTTGTAATTTTTTACACCACTATATTTATGTGCCATGGGAAACCGTGCTGTTTTGTTTTAAAGCTTGCCCAAAACACAGTTTCACTTTTGCCTGTTTTAAAATATTTATTTTATCGTTTTTGAGCCATAAAAAGTAGTCTCTTAGAATTCTTCCAGATAGCTAATTAAGTAAACCATGAGACAAAATTATTTCTATTTCAGAAACAGGATCCTGTCTGTGTCACATTAGGAGTTTGCCATTGTTAGATCCAATTATTAACGTCTCTTGCATAAGTATTAAAAAATGTTGTCAGATTCTAAATGATTAGATGCAAATTGATATTTGTGAAATAGTAAGAAAAAACAAATTCATATTTTCTCACAAAAACAATGGCATTTTGAAGAAACAAAGAAGGGTTTTGTTTATTTTGTGTCACTAAATATTTTTTTTCATGTGTGAGTCAATTGACCAGGTTATAGTCATTTTGTGGTTTTCAGTGAGGCTATTTTCTGAAAAGCATGTACAAAAAACATAACTTAGTCAATAAACTGCTGCTTGATGTGAGCTGTGCAAGCAGGAACAGTTACGAAAAGCAAGGTCTGCCATTTGCAGAAGGTCATATAAAAGCCTTGACACAGTCTGATAACTTTTTTTTACAAAAGAGAACTGGAGGATGAATCAGAATAATCTTATCTGTATTTACCTATAACTGAATAAAGCTCTTTTATCAAAGCCCTTCACATAAATCAGAAAAAAATATTTAAAAAATAAATAAATAAATAAAACTGAAAAGTGCAATGTGCCTGATAAACTAAATTGTTTCTTTGGACATAAAAAAGTGTTAAACTATCAGTTTAGTCTTTTACTGAGCTTTTCAAAAACAGGAGTCACTAGATGTTTGACAGAAGACTTTTTTATTGATTTTACTTTTTATTGATCAAGTATGCTGGCTAAAATCTGAATATAAAGTTTGTATCAGAAAAAATCCAATTTGCCTTTTTTATGTAAAACTCACAAAAAACTTCTATTTTTAACATGTTTAATAATTCTGTGATACAGTATGTGGATTTTTTTTTCATTGGTTCCAAAGTGACCATTTTCAATTTTCAATTGGTGTTATTGGTCCCCATTACATTCAGTATGAATATTAATCAAATACATGCATCAAGAATGTGATACCTTAATGCATGCAAACAATGGGGATCTTTTTTTATCAAGGTAAGACATGCAAAAAGTTTTGCAAGCAACTTAACAGGTTATGGAAAAAAGTTACCAGTACTTGGTTGCTATCAAAAACAGTTGGCATGTGCTTCTTTAGGAGACAGTGCAGACATGGACACAAACCTTTTTGTTTTAAGAGAAGTTCATTTTCTTTCGAAATATGAACTTTTTTTCTTTTTTTTAAATAATTAAATCTATTTTTAATTTGTGGTTTGAAATTACTACATCTACTTTTCAACTAATTACAGCTGAGTGAATATTTTTGATAGAACAAAAACTGTTGTGTTCTTTACCGTTCCCTAACAACCACTAAAACGACAACCTGATGGGAAAACATTGGCCTGAAGGTCGTCTAACCTGTGCTGCTTTTTTTCCCTTTAGGATGTACTTAGCCATTTCATTCACTTGAACTTGAGATTCTTCATTGTAGCGACTAAGTGCTGAATGACAGAAGTGACCACTTGTTGTATTAATAGCAGCTGTTGTGACAGAAGATGGGTTTCTCTCATTTTCCATACTGTGTCTGAACAGTAATATAAAAAGCTCTCATCCTGCTTCCCTCAGCACTCTGTAATTGCCTCACAGCTCCATCTCTTTTAATGGACTTTCTGTCAAATACTTCATCCAGTTCTATCAGGGAACAGCAGCCCGTGCTCTTAAATAAAACCCCCACGATGTTTCGCTGTTCTCCCATAACTAACAGCAGCTCYGTCTTTACAGACAAGGTGTCTGGTAACATGTTTTTGTAAATCGTGTTACTTGGATATTTTTAGACATGTTGAACAGTGAAWAATGTGGGGATTTTTTGGTAACATGGTGAGCACTTTTTCTTGTCTTCGTTAGGCAAATTTAAAATAAGGTTTGCCTTTACTGGAATGCCAATTGAAACTTTGACCATTTAGTTAGTTGTTTTGGTTGCTTCCTTCTGCAGGGATCACCACAGTACAACAGATTATTAGAGCCAGACAAAGGGATTTTTTTTTGTTTTTTATAACAAGAATAAAGACATACAGTAACATTGCAAGAATTTACTCGACTTTATCAGAACAAAAATGCAATCTTACCAGAAGTAAGTTGTAAAAGTATGACAACAAAGTCATTTTAATGAGAAAAAAGCTKTTCTGACATGACCAGCTCAGYCAAACAGCAGCAGATGTGATAAAATGTTAAATATTTCATACTTTATAAAACTAATACCTAAACATAACTTCACAAGATGCTTCAAATTCTTCATTTTAATGTAGTAGTTAGACTGCTTTTTCATGTATTAGGACTTTATTCTCTTAGTTTAATGACTTTATTTTGGTAATATAATGACTTTATTGTCATATTAT